TGAATATGAATCCTTAAATATTAAAATGAATTTAGAATATTTCCTGGTGATTTCTCTTACTTTAGAACAAGCTATCAGGATTGTGTGGAAACTTTGACAAATGTACTTCAAATGATATGACCACATCTAATAACTTGGAAGTGAGAAATGCTCAGGTGTTTGGAGATAGTTGGGCATTAGGACAGGTAAGTTAAATATACGTACATTAGAACTAAAAAAAGAATTTTAGAATATTTTTCCACTAAAGCATTTTATTCTCGGAGGAAAATTTATTTAGGTAATATTGTTTTACATAATTTCTTTTAGTAATTCACAGTTGATGAACTACTTTCATATTCATCTTACGTAATTTTTGTGACAACCTTATGATGTAAAGAGTGTTATCTCCATATAATAGATGAAATTGAGGCTCAGGGAGGTTAAATGACAGCTAATATTAAGGAGGCAGAAAGTAGCAGAGATAACATTCAAACTTATATCTTCTCTCTTATGTTTTCCTTGCTATACTGGAATGCTGTTAATGTATCTGCATTTTGAAGAATGATATAAGTTTTACCACCTCAAAGCAATAAATAAATAAAGGCAGCCATATTATTAGTGTTACGTGAAACAAAGGGGTAGGTGTGGGGTGATGGCTTTGTGGTCAACTACCTTTGGGAACAGTTGAATAAATTAAATTAGCTATTTCTCTTTTGAAGGATTTCTTGAGGCAATATATGCCTATAAAGGAAGGCTCTTATAATCCAGCTAGAAATGTTAAGTGAATGAAGACTTAGAAAACGACATAAATTTGAGAGACATTAAAGATAAAAGTCATCAGCATCTGTTGAAAGATTATATTAGGAAGCATGAATTTGGAGGTTTCAGGAAAGTCTCCTGGGTAGATGCTGGTGTCCCTCCCTAAGGCAGGACGAAGAGAAGGTTCTACGGATAGTGGGCACAGGACAGTGGTGTGGAGATGAGTATAGTTCAGGATGTGTTGAGAGAGTAGTGACTGAGAGATATTTAGGTGGAAATGTCAAGTTCTGAAATTCAGGAAAGAGATCTGGTACAGAAATAGAGATTTGGTAGTTATTAGTATATTCAGGTTGGTGAAGCCAGGACAAGTATAGGGTGTCCTGAAAGTTGCCATACATAGGGAAAACACGAAATTGTAGTTAAATGTACTTTTATTTACAAAATATTCATGACAAAATTTTTCCTTTGTGACTACTTTGTAGGTACATTTAGCTACAATTTCTCATTTTTCCTACATATGGTGACTTTTGGGACACCCTTGTATATAGAATGAGAAAAATAGAGGTTTAAGGATTAAACGGTGCAGAGGAGGGAAGGAGAAGGAGATTGAGGAACAGCAGCCAATGTAGTAAGAGGAAGCCTAGCAGAAAATTGTGCCACCAATACCAAATGAGGAGAGACATTTTTGAAGGGCAGAGTATTAAACACAATCAAAGGTAGCGAAAGATCAAGTGAGATGACCGAAAAGTTTCCTTTATATTTAGTAATGAAGAGGTCATAGAGGACCTTTTCCAGGAAAGTTTCAGGGAAATGGATTAGAGAGGGCAGAGGCCAAATTGCTGAATTTATGAGTTTTGAGCATGTAGAGATTTGAGAACACATAACTCCTTAGAAAATGATTGTGACAGAAATGAAAGAGCTAAAAATTAAAGGA